TTTTCGGAAATTTTTTTTATTTTTTAAAAAAAAATTTTGTTTTTTACTTTTTTTCTTTTTTCGGGCGGGGGGGGGGGGGGGGGGCCCTCTGCGGCCCCCCCCCCCCCCCCCCCTCTCGACATCCTTAGACATTTTCCCTTGCCCCCTGAATACTAGTTGCTTTAGAAAACTAGGATATAACAAAATATTTCTTGTGTATTTTCACATTTTTACATATGGGTAAAAAATGACCCATGCTCGGAGTACTAGGGTTACACATCAATCATCATCTGTAGCGTATTCTGAAGGACGTTGCTTTCTCTACGAGGCTTCGCCATTTTTGCCTATCTTGTGAGTTCCTCCATGTGGTGTGGAGGCCGATATGACCGAATTGCCGCAGCCGGCAGTTTCTAATGGTACTGCTGATGTCGGTTTGTTTGGTACTTTCACGGACTTCTTTGTTCGTGACGTGCTGCATATAAGGTATACGGAGAATGCGACGGAGACACCAGTTATCGAAGGTACCCAGTTTCGGTTCAACCGAAGCTGTTAAGGTCCAAGTCTCGGCGCCGTAGAGGAGGATTGGTACGATGTAGCAGTTGTAGACGCGTACTTCGGTTTGTATCGTGATACTGGAGCGCCAGATGGATTTGTCCAATGTCTTCATGCAACTCCGAGTAATTGCAATCTTTCGAGGTATTTTCGGTGCGCTGCTCCCTGAGTTGTGAATCATAGAACCTAGCTGGACGAATGAGTCGACCACATCCACGTCGTGGCCACGTACCGATAGTGACTTGCTGTTGATTTCCAGGCCTAGTAGACGGGATTCATCTTGCATAATGTCCAATGCCAACATGAGTGCTTCTACTGTCTCTGCTAAAAGCGCGACATCGTCCGCAAAGTCGAGGTCAGCGGATAATTGACCATCGACGCGAACGCTGTCTTGAGGTCAACATAGGCAATACAAAGCGATCAATTGTACTTGCGTCGCGTTTGAACGAGTGTGAGTAATGTGAAGATTCTATCCATTGTTGATCGACCAGGAGTATAGCCACTTCGTTCGTTTCTGTGTTTGGCCAACAGCAAACTCTTCACCCTAGACAATAGTATCCGCGCAAACAGTTTGCCTGGACACGGCAGTAACGTAGTCCCTCTGCAGTTTTTGCATTCTTAACGGTTACCTTTCCCTTTGTAAAAAGGCGGGATCGCGCCTTTCTTCCAATCTGTTGGGATAAGTTCAGAGCGCCAAGCGTTTTGGATGATGTTGGTTAGCCAAGTGCCGCAGTCGATGCCTCTGGCTTTCATCATCTCCGGTGTGATATTACATATTGTGCCAACAGACACATCCATCTAAATATCATATCTTATGAGTTATCATTTAGAGATGTCAGTTATAAGTTAGTGTCCTTGCGTAATGGTCTTTTCTTACTAATATTCTCATTATGAATATTATCTTGTACTGTCACTGTTCGGTCTCTTCTTTTTTCTCTTCTGTATAAAAGATTATGTTCTGTATTGTATACGATATATTTTGGAGTATGATAGAGTGTAGTTAATATTTTGTATATTTAAG